GCTCTGTCGATGCAATCGGCTAGCGTCGACATACTTGTCGGCGCAACCCCCTTACAAAAGCACTGAAATATAATTAGCCTTTACACTTTGGATTATACCAATGTAAATGGCCGCAAGCAAGCTTTCTTCACTTCAACGTCCTTAGCCTCGGTGTCTTCTGAGAATGACAATTGATTAAATTGGGATTTCAAGATCAGATTAATAAAGGTGACAAAGAGTCGTCTCGGGTGCGATATGACCGTCAACGATGAGGGAACTGACCACTGATGCATGGCTTGTGAATGACGCCACGGCATTAGGTATCATTCCGAAAGGCATTAAGATTCAACATTAAACCATAATACGGTTGGCCAATTTGCAATGAAAGCATGGGAGCGCTACGTAATTTTGATATCTGCTCGGCATTGCACATTCGTGTGACGATAATGAGTCTACACGACTTCAAGATGATTAGTTAAACAAGGACGGCGGTAAACTTGGGCTCTGTAATACTGCATCCATGCAATGATAGAGACGGTGGGCGAGTCGCACCAGCTGCTGGTACTTCTCAGCCGACTAACGGAATGTGGTGTAATTTTATTGATGGTGTAAATGGCAAATGCTCGACTTTGATTGACGCCAAGGAGAATCTACTTCAAAATTAAAGTTGAAATGAGACGGAGGGAGGTTCTCGCATAAAAGCATTATAGTTGGACGAGGCAACGTTTGGTAAGATGATACTCCACACAATAAAAATGCAAGAATTATTTACGTAGCCATTTTTCTCACATGAAGCCAAACTACCCGGTCGTACAAAGATTGAGTAGTAGTGATGCGGTATCCACAATGGGATAAGGACGACCAGCACAGTGACCCTTAGACAGCAAGCCACATTTCATTTGACCCCGCTCAGGAAGGACTTGTTCGAATACAAGGACTTGGATAGGCATCAAAGAAATATTTGCAGATGGCATAATATACTTGCTGAAAGAGCCGGCACCAGGACGTTAGCTGATTTGGGTAAAGAAATGATTCACTTTCTTGACACATTATAATCTCCAAGACTCGACAAGGAATGGTGTCTGTCGGCAAGCTTGCGGAACGCGGCATGAGCGTAGGTTCTTTGTCTTTCGTCGTTTGCCATCTGAAATTGATAATAAATGCATGCATAGATTCAAGATTCGAAAATGCGTACATGCTCAAATGGAAGCAGGAAAAGGCATGTCATGGAAAATATTCCGGGGCTGACACTATCAGGGAGCTTTGTCATGTTTGCATGAGCACTCACAGAAGGACACTCTATTCAAGACACAGTGCGTTATCAAAAGCATCATAATGATCTAGAAAGGGAGAATAAAATTCTGTGCTTGATGTATAAAGTTGAGCAGATAGTCACAACATTTTTCTCAAGTTCTTCAACAATATCGACAAGTGTGCCGGAGTGCGGGCAAAATGATATCATGGAGCAATGCGAAACAATCCGATAGAAGGTGCAAAATATTTTTTTAGTTGAGTGGATCATTTGTAAGATCTGTTGCAACGTCAATGCTCAAGAGCAAGAATGAGTAGCTCGCAAGTTCAAGTAATTTATGACTCTTTACGGGTTAATGGTTGATGGCATCGTTCACAAGCGTTCCGTTTCCCATAACTCAGCAAAAATTGGCGAAACGCATAAGCTGGACTACCGTGAAGAAGACCCGCATTTTGCTTTACTTCGAAACGTTTCGAATAATTTGTGGAAGGTACTTTTGAAACATTTTTTTCACGTCAGTCAGCGAATTCAGCCTATCCGGTATTATTGCCGTATATGTTCACCTTCACGATCAAGGCACCAATTGATCGCTTACGCTTGTTCGAGTCCCAGAGTTAGGCTACTGTCGTCGTGCTGAGACCATAGCTTAAACATATAAGCTTCAAGTGCATGTTTATCGTTTTTGAAAAAACTGGCAAGATTTATCGCGTTTTTTCAAATGTCAAAGAAACCCGCTGTGGGAGATTGCATGAGAATGAAGTAAGTGACATTTCCGACGCCCAAGCTCGAAATCTGAAGTGACGATCAAAGTTATAAAGAAGGGTGATAATGTCATTGTTAACAACCACAAAAATAGACAGTGACTCCCTGGATCGGCGTATGAATCTTATCGGAGGACTAAAAGCGAACATCGAAATAGCGTACGTCAAACATTGTCATAGCAGCTTATTCCTTTCAAGTGCTATGCTGAAAACAGCTTGGAGCTGGCAGCACATAATACATCTCTTCAATAGCAACAATCAAATAGGTTTATATTTCACTTTAACGCATGGTAAACACGACGAAGATGTGAGCCGGTTCTGATATTTTGTAACCTGTCGACGATAAAGTGCATGCTGAAGGAAGCGTGTCGAAACTGCTAGGATTGTCGAAGAAGAACTCACTGCCGATACCGTCGCTGTACCCGGGATGAAAAGTGAAGATATGGCGGAATTTCTGATGAGATATGCTCAAGCAATGTCAAGCGATGACTTGATGAAGTGGCTTGAAACTGCTTCCACCTGCACGATCAAATATGTACATTAGAAACTAAAGGCAGGTTAAACCACACAATTGAATCACGGTGGGTCTTTGCCATGAGGCGTGGTTAAAATGGAGCTGTGTTACGGTACAAGGCACGGCATGTCTCGATGAATTTATAACAAGAAGGTCTTAGTTCTGTCGAATTCAGTCGTTGATCGCTAACATGAATTTAGACGGGAAGATTTGCGGTGTAGCCCAGATGCCACTATCAAATGGAACAGATGGATGTCGATACTGCTTTTCTCTACATTACAACGGTAGAACGGAAGCCTCGCTTGGTTTCAACATTGTGAAGGGATACATGAGCCGACTGAACCAGGCTATATTGGAGTTGAAGCAAGGCTCAATATACAGAACAAAACAAATCGCCGTGCATTTGTTTGAATTACTATATGACCAGTGTTTTTTGCTTGAGCGGCCCCTGACATGAATACCTACTTTAAAAAATATGTGAAAGACATGATTGCCGCAGCAAAACCAGTATGAAGGTTAATCAGATTAAAAAAGTGCTCAAAAATGCATTTTGGATGAAGGAACTGGGCAAGGCAGGCTTAAACACTTAGAATTAAGTACACTCGATTCATCGACGATGTCGTTAGGAGCTTCGATGAACAAGAAGCCAACTACTGAGAAACCTGGCCGTTTGGCGATATGCTTTAATTCTTATCGACTGTTAATTTGGATGTCTGCTGTAGATTTCGTACGTTTTTGAAGATCTCCCGGACTGCAACAGTGGTATGCAGCTACTCGCTTCCCGACTTGAACACATCAAACCACTATCGTCCACTAAGGCAGTAGTAGCATTGTGGTATAGGAATATTTATATGCTGATTCGGGCAGCAATGTCCGTTTGGTCCTATTAATCAAGGTTTTAACTGCAGGCGCATCGGTGGTTCACAAGACAAAGTACAAGAGAGTTTTTGCACTCATCTCGGCGAAAACTTGGTTCAATACTCCCTGCTTCTACACCCAAGAAGTTCTCTTGACGCGGGCGGTACACTAGGTGATCGGTAACGAGCAAGATGAAGGTGCAGTGCCCTGCAGTGAAAGTTTTATTTTTCATATGGAACATTTTCGTATAAACAGCCCGACCTTGATCTTGTATCTAAAGGGATACCATAAGTATGGAATTTGTCACGCTGTCCATGTTTTTGAAACAACAAGAATCTTCATGAATTGCAAAGTACTGTTTTTAAGTAACAACACGACATTTAAGCTACGTGCAATTTCTTTTTATACATATCGTAAAATTAATCTTGCCGTATGCCGTATTGCTTTGTTCGTAAAACTCGAAGTGAAAACGTTTTCATGTATCTTCGTCCATATCTATGCGGAATTTCACTGCCGTAGTCATGCACATCTGGTCTGCTGCCATAAAAAGAACGAGGGCACGTGAGTTATAGCTAAGAGCTCCATACAGAATTCTCAACACCGCATAGTGCATTTTTCTTCATTGAAGGATTTAAATCCTCAACCGAGAAAGGGGAGCCAGCCACTAGGCTGATCTGAGTTTGTTTTGGTATGTACAAATGTTGATTTGATACGAGTGAAATCGACATGTAGCTACAACATCATTCTTCGTCACTATAGAGGGGTTTCAATACCACCCGCTTCTTGGCATTGTCTTTGCCTACGTACCCGCTGTCTCGCGTATAAACGCAAGCACCTCAGTGTTGAGTGTCGTCGTCAGCATATCTGCAAGCTTACGTTTCGTGTCGATACAGCAAGAGTTTCTTCTCGTATACCTCATTTTGACTTTTGGTTTAGTATCCTAACTCTTGTAGCCAGCCATGCGCTTAGCTGAAAAGTGAAATGCGTCAGCAGGTTTCTTATACGGAGGTCGGAGATTATTGAAGCAGGTCTGATACATGACCTTCTCTGAAAGACCAGGTAAGGACACTCCATCCGCAAACATATTCAGATCGAAATGCTTGAATATTTCTCATTGAGCCTTGATGGCCTTGATGAATGGACTACGTTGAGATTGTTGTACCAGATCAATAGGTCCTTGATCGATTTCGTCTCGTAGTACTCCCACGCAATCGTTACTCGTTCGTAGTCATCCTTGGTGATCCTTGTTCCTCGGAGCTTACTGTCAAAAGCTGACTTAAATGAAATGGTAGTCTGATTACGTACATCGAATGCATTTATGTAGTCATAAGGAAGAAGACCCTTACCAAGACCACAAACACATCTAAATTTGTCAGCACATTTACAGCCACCGAGATATGTTGTAGGATATTTATCTTAGCTGGTACTAGCTGGTGCATATATGCTAATATCAAGCATTTTCATGTCCAATGTAGCAATGCACATGTAGCTGGGATTTTTGATGACAGATTCTAAAGTTATTGGTGCCAATGAAAACAAACAAATCCTGTTTAATCATGTTAAAATCGTATCGACCAGAATTGAAACGAAATACTGGTACCTGATCAGTCTGCTGTTTTAGCTCCCCGTAATCAGACCTTTGTTTACCAAAGCTAAGACTGCTATGAAGGTCAAAGAAGCTGGCATACTTTCCTTGTTTAATCCATCCAGCCCCCGACATCAGACATCTTGTAGGTCTTACCAAGATTGACTCCTGGAAATTCCATACCTGTCAGACCGTGAACGTGAATGATTCTCTGTAAAGCGTCTTGTATTTATTGACATTGTTCTGTTTGCTCTTCATGGATACGCCACCAATGTATTTGAACATAATCGTAAGTGGCTTCTTCGGATCATCATTTACAAAGCAACGCGCCTCCGTGGTTAATGTATCAGCTACTGATATAGACACCGGGATGTGCTCGTTCGTGAAGACAGTAATCTCTCCGTGTTTGGTTGCGGAAGGCTTAAAGATGGCATCAAAGTCATAAACATGATCAATGTATTGATCAGTATTCTTCCTCAAATACTTCGTCAGCAGTGATCGTATTGCGTTCTGAGCTGTTTTGTAGATGTTAGCTGAGCTGGGAAGCTTTCGATATTAACGAGCTCGCACTGTTTTTTTACTCTTTCAGTGCTGACAAAAAGATTTCACACTTAGGACACTGATATTTAGCCTGAAGCATATCAACGTTCATGATGTAAAGAGCATAATTCTCGCACGATAAAATATCCATAGCTCCACACCCCTTTTCCGGTCTACGAGTACATTCTACATTTCCAGAAACTACATCCATCTCGCATATGATAAAACCAAGTTAAAAGCAGTCTTCAACTTCATCGAGCTGTAGTAGATCATTGGGCTTGAACGTTCTAAACAGGCTCACCGAAAACTTAATCCCCTTGAAACATAGTAACGCTTGAATTCCTCCTTTACCTGAGCCTGAATTTTTCGAGGATTCTTCTCAGGGCTCTGGAATGTATGCCAGGCGATACAGTGGAAGACGCAGTTGTTGAATTGGGAAAGTTGATCACATGCTTGTTTTCGCGAATAATCTTAGGGATGACAGCTTCGCTATCTCCGAGAGAATGCTCGCGATGGTAGATAAAAATCTTGAACGCAGTGATAGTGTTGAGCTTATATCCAGAGCTGGGGTAATTAAGTTTTGTTAGCCAACTCCATAAAACGGAATTCCGAAATCACCTTCTTTTCCATAACAGCCTTGTTTGGGTAGAAGTAGCGAGTCAAGTCAGGATCGGTCTTGCTTATATATTCGTACCCGAAAGCAATATTCATCCTTAATGCACTCGGACGTTCTCGAGTAGGTTGTAAAAATCAGAAGGCTCAACACCCTCGTACACATGTGATTCCATGTTCCACCATTCGAAAAACGGTACTCCTTGTAGTCAGGAGACAAGTGTATCTCAATGGTATAACAACAGCTACATGCCGTTCGATGTTCTCGCAACACCGTGCCAGTTTGACGTGAAACATGACGACCATTCACGTATTGTGGTTTTGCCAGCGTGGCGTGATGCCGACCTGCTGCAGTATGCGAAGTTAACGAACTGGGTTATCGAAACTGGTCTGCGGCAGATCAAGCGGCAGGATACACCATTTTCTAAACTTGTTAAGGAGCAGTACTTCTATAGTGGCGGCAGTTTGCGCGAGTTCTGTAA